AAGAATTAATTCCAGTGATAGTAGTACAGAGTTCCTGTCTAGTGATTCCGAATACGACTCTGATTCTTCTGAAAACAGCTCTGATGTGGAATCAGATGACTCTGAAATGGACGGTTTTGYTGAACATTCTTATGAAGTACTATTTGTTGCAGACGAGGACATCGAACAAGTAAACACAGACTTGCAATAGCATGAAAACAGGTATTCACATAAAGACATTTCTAATTGAAGGATGGTAATCATTGGAGGGGGGCGTTCAACGTTATTTTTAACATAACAGGGGGGGGGGGGTAAGAACTAAAAAAATTTAAGGGGCGCACTGCCTAATCTTTTGCTTGATATATCTCATTTTTCAGCCCCCTCCCCCTCCCCTCCTGATAATTATTGCACAGTCCCTTAAATGCATAAATAGCCAGAATGGCCAGTTGGGATAAGGACAAAATGAAATGAAATTTGACGGGTCCAGATTTCATTTTACTACGRAAATTACCGAACTGTGGAACAATGTCGAGTTTTCTTATGAAACACGGTATATGGCTAACTCACAAATCGAACATGAAACAATTGCAACCTCTGGCATGGGTTGATCTAAGGCAGGGCATGGCTAACTCACAGATCGAACCCTAAGACAACCTCTGGGCTGATCAAAAAGCCACAAGTGAAATAACTTAGAGAACACGAGACCTTTTCTCCTTCTCCTTCTCCTTCTCCTAGTTGTCCTTCTCGTGCATTTTTTACTGCCTGTTTCTTCTCTATTTCCCTAGGCTATCTTTCTTCTTCGTCTTCCTCCGCTTCTTCGTCGTCGAATTTTTAATTTCTACTTGACTTAATTTACYTTCCCGTATTAAATTCTAACTTGCTTTTACCCTTTATTTTCCTATCATTTCTTCTCTCGTCGTCGTGCTTATTCTTCATATTTATCTCCTAGCGATTCACTTTTCATGTCGCTAGTGCATGCTTCTCCTCAGTGGCGGRTCCAGGGGAGKGGTACAGGGGGTGCGCACCCCTCCCTGGTTCGACTTTGTGTCCGTACTTCGAAGATAACCAATACAAAATMATGTTTTTTCGCTTTGATTCTAAGGGGTKCACCCCTCCCTGGGTTAACTTTGTGCGCAGCACCCCTCCCTGAACAAAATCCTGGATCCCCCTGCTCCTGATTATATATTCTAGCTACCTTGCAGTTGTCATCGKCTCTTCTTCGCGTATCGCGTAGCCAACTAGTACTGAGCTGATCCTGCCATTAATTTCTGCTCGACAAACTTTTGGCTTCATAGAAACTTCTAATAAAAAGATCAATGTTGAAGATAGTTTTTTCATAGTTCTTTAGAAGCTAAAAAGGATATCATGTTAACACTAGCTGTGAAGTCAGTGAGAATTAAACTTGCATCTGTTCGCGCCGAAAATAGTTTAAAAAGACTKCCTTAGGAGTAACCTTGGTGAAAGATCTCGGAAATCAAAACTCTCGAAAACTCTTAAGCTGGAATATCAATATTTTGAAGAGAATTCTAAATTTTTAAACTTGGCGAAAGCTGATCAAGGATTTCAATTACTTAGCTTATCAAACACTCAAAAATTCTTCAGCTGGAATTTCATATATTAAATAAAGAATATATATAGTGGTCTATTTTGATTACCTAAGTGTTTCTACTATTTTTATAGCAGTACTTCTTTATCTTATGATGTCAAACGCGAAAATAATAATAATATTACTGACGAGTTGCCAACACATGCACAGCATCGAGGATGGGCCATCCAAGATCACAAACTAACAGGGGATTTGTATGGTCACATTTGTATGATAATGCAGCTTTTTGCGTAACAAAACTGCTTATTCTATACAAATAAGAACACTAAGAAATTTTTGGGGGCGGGCAGTGTTTCATACATTTTYATATACAAAAATTCAGGTTGCAGGTGAGGGCGAGCGTTTACGTGTAACGCAAGTTCTCGTCAAAAAYAAATGTAAACCAGAATTTGTTAAGTTAGGATCGAAAACGCGTATCTTACGATAAATAACGAAAAAAAACCCCAACATTTTGAATGTCATATACTAAATTTAAGGTCGTATAGCCAATGAATTGCTTTAAACCATTGATATGTTTATTTGGCACTATAATTTTTTTTTTCTTTCTTTCTTTCTTCATGGTTGACATTCACTTGCTGGAGTCCAAACACTTTCGCAGTTGCTTTCAAGCACCTGGCGTTGTTGAAAAACAAAATATTCGTTTCCAAAGCGTGGCACAGTTTGTTCATATTCACATGCATGCTGCAGGACTATTTGGCAGACCATATGGTAGAGTCGTCTGTGAGAATTCTGTAGGTTATGCAGCTGTTTTAGCGTGAATGGTTTTTTCTGTGATTTAGATATCCTGGCAATAGGTTGAATATATGAATGACGCAGTCCAAGCTTTTATTTTATTTTATTTTTTCTTTTCTTTTTTTCTTTTTTGAAATTTTTTTTATTCACAAAATCAAATCGCGTAGATACGAAGCATTGTTCCAATGTCCTTTCAATGATGCCCTCTGAACCTTTCTGTTGCTTTTATACTTCAAGTTTTTTCGGCTTTAAACAGTCACATGAATAATAGAGACCTTTATAGATCCGACGACGAGTAAGAAAACGAGTACGAGTACGAGTTTCTAGCTTTCCAAGATTGGCACTGTCATTTCCTATTCGTGGTTGTGYAYGTAGATTGAAACTTTAAATTGTAAAAAATCGGAAATCGACTATACGATGTAGTGTTTAACCACGTGCACAGGACCAATTTTAAATCTCGTACTCGTACTCGTACTCGTACTCGTTGTCGTATCTAATGGTCGCTAATGAAAACCCGGCAACGACAATCGACTGAATATGGGCCATGCCAAACCCGGCTGAAAGATTTAAAAACGTACGAGTTTAAACTGATTTTTTCTATTCCTTTATTTTTACACTTTTTGACTTGAAAATACCRATATTTTTCCAAAAATAAAATGCAGTAAATAACTAGCTCTTGTTACAGCCTGAAAAACGTGACTCGGACGAATCTTAGTTAATCTATTAACTATGGAAGAATCGATAGAACATTCTGAAAACGCCTGGTAACCGAATTGAACTAAACTATTTACAGTATTTACGTGTTAACGAAACAAACTTTTGCTGTATTTTCATTGATRCCACCATTCCGCTTCCATATTCTAATTAAACGTCAAAAATGATTTTTCTAGTAAATCAAAGTTTTGGGTGAAAAGATGTACCCTAAAGAATTCTCTTTTTGATGAATCTGCACAATCCCTTCGTGTGAACAGAACATCTTTGATGAAACTTGGTTTTGAATCGAGTAAGTTTTATTCAGAAAATTTAGATTTTTGTGCAATTTTTAGGATTTTTTTCTCAGTAATTATTTCTTTGGGAATTGTTTGTACTCTTGTGGCTTTCTTTGGTTCATTAAGGTTGTTCTTTTGAAGCTAAAATTCCATTTTTAACAAAGGAATTAGACCTGCTTAACAAGTCAAAACAGTAAATTGATTTATTAAATATTCAACAATACAATGAACCTTGCATGCGTGGGAAAAGATGCAATCAAAAATCTATCAARGAAATTTCTATCGGAAAGCCATTGACCCTAGTAAAGTTAGTTTTACCAATAAAGTTAATTTTGTCGATGCTGATGTTGCTGTCTCGTTAATTTTAAGAACGTTTTGTAATTTGTGTGATAATATTAGTTTTCAAAAATATTATATAAGAACTTTCATTGATTAGAGTTTTAAGATATTTAAAACTCTTTTTTAATAAATTGTAATGTACCCTGTGTGCTATATTATCTTCTTCTT